TACGGGGAGAGAGGTTCTCACTATTCGTGGAAAAGTCATGTGATATCAATGTCTTGTGTATTTCTGAATACCTTCGCAAAGCTATCAAATCTTAATGTTTTCCATTTCAATGGTTTTTCATATGGAAAATTATCAATATTATTAATTTTAAGTATAGCCATTTACTGCACAGAAGGAACCATTCAGCCCAAAAGACCACAAGACTTAGGAGCAGAAGTAGACCATTCAGCCTATCAAGTCTGATTGCCCATTTAATGAGATCATAGCTTATCTAATAATTCTCAACTCCATTGTCTTGCGTATTCCGCATCACCCTTGTTTGCCTTACTGATTAAAAGCCTGTCTGTTTCAATCCTGAATATACTTAACAACTCAGCATCTACTGGCCTCTTTAGTATAGAGTTCCACAGATTCACATCCCTTAGGGAAGGAGTGGGGGAAATCCTCAACTCTGTCTTTAATGTGTGACCCCTTATTCTGAGATTATACTGTCTGGTCCTAGACTCTCCCATGAAGAGAAACTACCTTTTTCACATCTACCCTGTCAAGTACCCTAAAAATCTTTACATTTCAATAAGATTGCCTCTCATTTTCCTAAACTCCAAAGAGTATAGGCCCAACATACTCAATCACTACTCATAAGACACTCCCTCCATATCTGGGTTCAGCCTAGTGAATCTTGTCTGGACTGCTGCCAACACCAGTGTATCTTTCCTTAGATTAGGAGCACAAAACTGTTCACAGTATTCCCTGTAATCTGACTAGTACCATGAATAGTTTTAACAAGAATTCCCTACCTTTTACATTCCATAACCTTTGAAATAAAGGCCAACATTTTATTTGACTTCCCCATTACCCAACTTGAATTTGGTCGTTAGCTTTTTGTGATTATTGTCATTATCCCAAATCCCTGTGCTGGAGCTTTCTGTAGTATTTCCCCTTTTAAGTAAAATTCATTAAATAACTCTTCTATTCGTTCTGTCAAAGTGCCAATTTCCTGCATCATATGCCAACTTCCAAGTCTTTGCCCATTCCCTTAACCCATCTACCTCTCTATAGATGCCTTGTGTCATCCTCACCAGCATGGCCTAACAGTCCTCTGCTGAGCAATCCAGTCAGCCTTATTCCCCTACCCCACCCAGAGGCCCCTGCAGGTTCAATTTGCTCAAGTGCCAACTACTTTCCTTTTGGAATTCTTCATCATCACTGCCCCCACCCACTCATGGGCATTGAGCTCCAGCTCATTACCACTCACCAAAATGTTCTTCAGCATATCCCTCACCTCTGGTTCTCTTGCCCAAAATCTTAAATCTCTGTTCCACCTATTCCATGTACTGTCAGCTAATAGGATGTTTTCACATCTCAAATCTTAATTTATTTGCATCTTACAATCTCACTCTGTACACCTACTTAATTTTGTGACTTTTTTTATTTTCCTGATGAGTGTTTTTTGTAACAAGTTCCGATGGTGAGATTTATGTGGATTGCTTTGCCCTGTGGCTAGAGAGAACACTTTGGGAACAATTGGATTCCCCTGCGTTTCTGCAGTATAAATTGTTGGAAGTTGGGCATTCTTGCATTTATCCTGATAAGTGCAAACCTTAAAACTTCAAAAGTATTTTACAGCAATAGACTTTACTTGATAGTGAAATGTGTTTTCCACATCCCAATACCAGTTTAAGATGAGGTTTAGCTGAAAAACTGTTTTGAATATCCAAACTGTGTGTAGGGCTTCTTCTGGAGTGAAACCTTCTAATTTGCAGTACCAACAAGCTCTCTATTGCATTTTAAAAATAATTTATATGTTGTGGGTACTGTTTGCAAGGCTAACATTTATGCCCTTGTGAAGTCCATTTGGTGTAGGGAGTTCAGGATTTTGATCCAGCAACAGTGAAGAAACATTTATATATTTTCAATTTGGAATGGTTTGTGGCTTAGAAGGAAACTTGCAAGGGTTGGTGTTTCTCCTGAAGAAAGGCCCGAAACGTCAGCCTCTCTGCTCCTATGATGCTGCTTGGCCTGCTGTGTTCATCCAGCCCTGCACCTTGTTGTCTCGGATTCTCCAGCATCTGCAGTTCCTACTATCTTTGGTGTTTCTCCTGCCTGCTATCCTTTGTCCTTTCACGCAGTAGAGTCATGGGTTTAGAAGATGCTGTTGAATGAGCCTTGATGGATTGCAGCAGTCGTCTATAGGTAGTACACACTTCTGCCATTTGGCAAGCGCAATATCATGAAAAGAATTTTGCAATGAGGGAGGAGACCATTTGGCCCATTGCACTGCTGCTGTCTCTTTAAAAGAACAGTTCATTCCCATCCTGCATTCCAGATTTTTCTCCCTATCCCTGCAAATTAATCCTTTATTACTCCATTACGATACAAAATTATGTTTCTAAATATCTAACTGTCTCCTCCTTTATTAATGGTTCCTGGAACTTTACATCCTAATTCCTGCCCTGTTGGCAGTCACTGAACTTGATAAGATCACCATAACCTATTCTTGTCTCAACAGCAACAAACTTAGTCAAACTTCCTAAGGTGGTACATGCATCATCAAACAAAATTTAATAATGAGCTATCTAAGTAAATGGCATCAAGTGACTAAGAGTTTTGCCGAACAGATCAGTCCCCAAGGAGCATCTTAAATGAGGAGAGGGGGGTTCAGGGAGGAATTCTAGGGCTAAAGCAGCTGAAATGATGGCCACAAATAGAGGAGCGACCAAAATTGGGGATGTACAAGAAGCTGGGAATTGGACAATAGGAGGAGTTGGAGGGTTTTGGAGCTGAAGCTAGTTACAGAGATGGGATAGAGCAAAGTTTAAACACAAGGAGCAGAAATTTTCAAATAGATTCTTTAACAAAGGGGAGACAAACGTAGATGACTAAGCACATTTATCGGTTAAGGAGTCTTTTCATTTGATTGTATGTTTGCTCCTTGTTTTAAAGGGCTGATGTAACTCCTGCAATAAAATTATCTTTTGCAGATCATTCTGTTGTTTAATACAGCTGTTGATTGCCACAGGACATTGGCATCAGAATTCTGCAGACAAGCAGCTAGAAAAACCCAGAGGCACAACAGATGGGTTGAAAAGCTTTCCTAATAGCAGCACTGAGAACTTTGCGTGTGCGTTCACTATAGAGAAGTACAATGCAGATATAGAAATCAGGGAGAGGAGGAGTTGATATACTTAAACCAACTAACATTGAGAGGGAGGAGATTGATGGGTTTAAAGTGAACAAATCCCCAGGACCAGATAAGATGTAGCCCGGGCTCACGTGGAGGCAAAGGAAAAAATAGCAGGGACTGCGAATTTTCAAAGCCTGGATGGGTGCCAGCAGACTGGAGGACAGCTAATGTGGCACTGTTATTCAAGGGTGGTAGGGATAAACCAGGAAGCTACAGGCCAGTAATACAAGAAAAATACTGTAGATACTGGGAATCTGAAACTAACAGCGAATGTTGGAGAAACTCAGGAAGCCTGGCAGTGTTCATGCAGAGAGCGAGAGAAGTATGGTTAACATTTCAAGTCTGGCGTGACTGTTCAGAATTTGAAAGACATTGGAATTTTTATTTATATCTTTGACAGAGGCAGAGGCCCAGTGCAAAAAGATAAAGGGTAAAAGATAATATCAATGATCAAGAAGAGAGAGATGTGAAATGGTGTTAATTAATGTATAAAGAGGAGAAATAAGTCCTGTATACTAAAAGCAAATGAGAACGCTGTGTAGGGGGGAAAAGAACGTGAGTTGATGAGATAATGCAGTCAGTTTCTGAATTTATTGAATTTAATATGGAGACCTCAAGACTGTAAATTGCAAGTGACCACAGGCCGGTGAGTCTTACTAGCTGTGATTTTTGTTTTAATATATTCTTCATTCACAGGATGAGGGCATTGCTGGCTAGTCCAGCATTTATTGCCCATCCCTAATTATGAGTCATCCACATTGCTATGTGTCTGGAGTCACATGTAAGCCAGACCAGGTACGGATAGCAGATTTCCTTCCCTAAAGGACATTAGTGATAAAAGATGGGTTTGGCACCAGATGGGATTGAAAAAATTCAGAGAGGCAGAATTAATCTCCACTTAGAGGCATGGATTAGTCAAGGATTGAGCATGGGTTTGTCAGGAGGAGATAATATCTAACAAACTGGATTGTATTTTGAAGCGACTAGGTGTGTAGATGAGGGTAGTGCAGTTGATGTAGTCTACCTTGCTTTGACAACAGTTTGCATGACAGATTCGTTAAGAAGCTAAGAGCCCCAGGCTTGAGGGCAGTTGGGATCCAAAACTGGCTTCATGGCAAGAAGCAGAGGATAATGATCACAAGGTGTTTTTGTGACTGAAAGCCTGTGCTGAGTGGAGTACCACAATGCTGGGTACCTTGCTGTTTGCAGTTCCCATCATTGTTTTAGTCACTACTGTAGCCTGGGCTAGATTGATTGATTCAGTTTTGGAGAGACTAGATAGGCCCAGCTTATTTCCTTCACAAAAAAACAGAAGGCTGACAGGAGACTTGTTTGGCATACAAGGTTACTAGGCATTGGTAAGGAGATGGAGGGGCTAGTAAGGAGTAAAAGTTACAGCAGAGATCAGAGGATAACTTTTTTCATCCAAAGGGTTATGGGTATCTGGAACTCTGCTTAGAAGGGTGGTAGAGAAGTGACTGCTCCAGGCATTTAAATAGTATTTAGATAAAACACTTAAATACCAGAACATAAAGGCCAACTGCAATTAGATATACGCTTGATGATCAGTAGGGTCACAGTAGACCACAGGGCCTTTTTCTGTGCTGTACAACTGACATTTAGCAATTCAGTTGTGTAAAATAGGATAATTTTAATTTCTCAAAGCATACATGAATGAGAAATTTAACTGTGGGTCAAGTAAGACCATGATTTTTATTTCAATGGATTCAATGCAGTTATTAATATGGCAAATACATGCAGCTGCCCATTTAGCCCATCACACCTGAGTCACACACTTGCTGGAGCTGAGACTGTGGAGCTCATCAAATTTTGTGATCACTTTATTGGCTTATATGATACAGTGTGCAAAGATATAAATTACTAAAGGAAGGCTGATTTCCAAACCTCATTTTCAGTCATCATAAACAATAAAAGGATTGAAAGTTTCACAGATGCAAGTTTTTTCTTTTTTTAAAAATCAACCCCCACCACAACCCAAGCTTAATTTTGGAAAGTGATGGATGTAAGTACCTGTGACAAAATTGAATTTGTGCTCCTTATTTGGCAGTCAATTTCTGCTCATAGAAAAGCCTTACCTGAAAGAATTATCCAAAGCTGATTGTATCTGAAACACAACAGAAACTGCAGTGGCTACTAGAGAATAATCATGCTTACAGAGCTGGTGCTGATAAGATAGGCTGAATGGCCTCCTTCTGTACAACAATTCTGATCAGCAGTATATTGCAAAGAAAGTCATTAACACTCAGAGACAATCTTTCATTCTATAGCTGTGTCAAAGAAGCCATTTCTCTTCCATTCAGTTACACATTTCTTTTTGCAGAATCACAAGTTAAAAAATGTCTATCCACCTTCAAAACATTAAAAACCAGGTTAATTTCTTTTTCTAAAAAAGACAATTTCAACATTTATAAATAACCTTGCTCAAACCCATTTCCATTTCAAGCTATTAAATGTAATGACATCTGATCTAATATAACAATATACATTAATCATGAACACAGGCAATAAATGCTACTAGATGCACATTTGACAGAAAAAGTTCTATTTCTCAAGCCTACAAACTCAGACATGTTCACTAATCCGTTATTTTTAGCCCGCTGCTTGGTTGTACAGAATTGAATATTGCTGAAAAGGAAGATTTTGCTGAAATTTTTGATTGTGCACTCATCAGGACAAACCTATCAGCACATTTATCTTGTGCAGTATAAATTTGAGATTGTTTGAATTTTGGCATTCCTGCATTTGTCCTGATGAATGCAAGATAAGAAGCTTCAAAACATCTCTCTTTTCAGCAAAATTCAATAATATTTAAATAAATTACATTCCTTTCTTACTGAAGGCAATATAAAACCCAGATTGCATCAGTGCAGGGAAATCTTGGTCACAAGGAGCTGTACTCTCAGCTTTTCCAATTAATATTAAACCAGATCATTCCAATTGCCACCAATTTTGAATTTTTTTTTTAAGAAAAGAGAATTCAGTTAAATGTTTTAAAGAATAGAGTATTTGGCTAGCATCCTGGTTTACATTCATCCTTCAATAACAGCACCAACAACAGATTAACTGGTCATTCATGTTCACTGTTGGACCCTGCAGTGTACAAAATGGCTACTGTGTTTACCTACATAACAGCGGTGACTAAAGTTCAAAAGTAATAAACTGGTTGCGACATGACTTGAAATACTCTGAAAGACAATGTATAAGTGCAAGTCCTTAAATTCTGGCAGAGTTCCTTTGGAAATAATTTCAATATGCTGAATAATTTTGATTTATGAAATCAAGCATGATTCTGTAGATCTCACATATAGCTAATTCTGGAACGGCCACTTCACTCTCTTGAATCAAATTGACACACTATCGATTTGCTCCTTGTGCTTTCCAGTGGAAAATTGATCATGGACAGCATTTCTCCTTTTGTTCCAATTCCAGTGCAGGTCTGGGAAATAACAGATTTCTTGGGCAGTGTGCTCATACTGTTAGTTATGGAACTGGACAATATTGGAAAATTAAGCATTCTCTGGCTTTACAAATGACAGTATAAATAGTGTGGAAGAAATAAATAGAAAACCTTTTCTCTGCAAGTAAGGGCTGCCTTTCTGGACAGCTGTCAGACAACATTACAGAGACGATCCATTGCATTTACTGCATTTCATACTGCAAACCATTTTTTTCCCTCTGGCAAACATATCCTGTGAAAATAATAGGCTGAGTTTGGTAAAGAGATTTCAGTCACACTGCTAGATGTTTTCATCAGAATCTGAAGTGGAATCGTGATCACTGGTGTATTCATTTGCTGCTTCCTCCAAGGGACCCATTGTACCATCCGGTTTAACCCTCATTGGCTTAATTATCTGCTCCCTGGAAAGAAAAGTTAATTCCCATGAATGGTTGGGCTCATACTTTACTGTTTACCAAAAGCTTTCAATAGAAAATGTCAAAATATTCCCCAAAACATCATTATGCCAGAATTGATTTAATGGTTCAAAATGCAAAGTCAAATCCTAATGAAGGGGATTTAAAACCACTATCTCAGTCACTGGCCCCCTATTTACACAACCTGCTGCCACAGCTCCCCTAAAGCCCCCACCCTTCCACAGCATCCGCAACCCAACTTCCGTGCTCAACACTCTCTCATGACAGAATAGATTTAATTTTGGTAAATAGAATGATCTTGTCTTCCAAATGCATCCTGTGTGAATTCTAGTGATCTTTAAGTATTTTCCAGTGGTTTCAGACTGGCAAGCTCCATGTCATATTGTCATTGTTTAGGAGAGTTTAATTATAAAATTGTCAGTCAGTTTAATCTCTTCAAAGGGAACTTTTTGTACTTCTTCACAGATAATCCAATTACATCTATCCTGTGTTCTGCCTGCCTTACAGATGATTTTCTAATCGAAAGCATAAGCTGCACTATGCACAAACATAACACAAGTTGTCTCATAACGTGCATTAAAAGTTTTACAAGTTTACAGATTAAAAACTAAAAGTTTAGACTTCACTCACTTCTGTCAATTTAGGTTTTTCTTTCCCTCATTGTTTTATGTGATATGAGGATCACTGACAAGACCAGCATTTATTGTCCATTCCAAATACCCTTTGGAGGTTGTGACCTGCCTTCTTGAATTCCTTTTGTCCATCTGGTGTAGGTACAGCCGTTGTGTTCATAGGGAGTTCTAGGAATTTGACTCAGTGACGGAATGGTGATGTATTTGCAAGTCAGGAATGTGTGGGGCTTGGAGGAGAATTTGCAGGTGGTGGTGTTCCATGTGTATGCTGTCCTTGTCCTTCTAAATGATAAATTTCATGCAGTTGGAGGATGCTGTTGAATAGTGAGTTGCTGCAGTGTATCTGTAAATGCCACACAGTGCTGTGTGTGCGCATTTGTGGCAGAGGGACTGAATGTTGAAGCTGACAAATGAGGTGCTGATCAACAGGTCACTATACGTTCAACATACTCCACACTGGCAAGCAAAGTTACTACACACAGACCACACAACAGCAGGAAAGATATTGGAAATCCATGACCTGTTCCTTCCCTCCCATTCACAAACATACAAATTAGAAGCAGGGTAGATTCACGCTGTTGGGCCTGCTCCTCCAGTCAATACATTACAGCTGATCAGATTACTCCATGTTCCTGCCTATCCAAAGACCTTTCAGGTCCTTGCTTATCAAGAACCTACCTACCTCTCAAAAACATCCAAAGACTCTGCTTTCGCTGGAACTCTCTTCCTCAAAAGGGCAGTGAAAGTAGACTTTTGCCTTTTGAGGAGAGTTCCAAAGACTCATGACCATTAGGAGAAAAAAAAGTCTCTTTATTTCTGTTTAAATGGCCATCCCTTATTTTCAAACAGTGATCCTCCCACAAGAAGAACTTTTCTTCCCCGATGTAGCCTGGCCAAGACCCCTCAGGTTTCAATTAAATCACCTCTTACTCTTCTACATATAGGGAGGCAATGGCTAGTGACATTATTGGTAGATGATTAATCCAGAGACCCCAGTTTGAATCCTGCCGTTGCAGACAGTGGAGTTTGGATTCGATTAAAAATGTGGAATTAAGAGTCTAATGTTGACCGTGAAATCAGTATCATTTGTTAGAAAAACTCATCTGGTTCACTAATGTCCTTCAGGGAAGGAAATCTGCCATCATTACCTAGCCGGAGCTACATCTGACTCCAGACCCACAGAAATATGGTTGACTCAACAGTATTTTGTTAATACTGTAAATGCTGGCCTACCCTGACACCTAGATCCTTTGAATGAATACAAAATAGTTGAGTGGATTGAAGGCTATCCTGTCCGACCTTTCCTCAGAAGAAAGGCCATTAATTCCAGATATTAGTCTGGTAAACCTTCTGTGGACTAATGCAATTATATCCTTCCTTTAGAAAGCAAGCCAATAGTGTACACGCTACTCCAGTTAAACAGGGCATTAGTGACACATCTAAAGTATAATCTTCCTACTTTTGTATTCAAGTCCCTTCATAATAAACAACAACATTCTATTAGCTTTACAAATGACTTGCTGTACCTGCATTTTAACCTTTCACAATTCATGTATGACACACAGATTCCTCTGTATTTCAGAGCTCGAAATTTTTCACTACTTAGATAATACACTTCTTTCTTTTCCCTGCCAAAATGGACAATTCCACATTTTCCACACTTTATACTCTATTTGCCAGTTCTTTGCCAATCACTTAACCTATCTATACCCTTTGTAGCTTCCTTATGGCTTCTTCACAACTTAGGTTCCTACCGGTGTCATCAGCAAAGTTAGCAACCATACTTTCTGCTCCTTCAACCAAGTCATTTATATAAACTGTAAAAGGTCAAGGCCTTACAGTGCTGATCCTTGTGGCATACGACTTTTATATCCTGCCAACCAGAAAATGATATGTATACTCACTATTTCCTTTTAATCGATGTTTTCGAACTGTACCAATTTGTCACCCCCTATACCATGAGCTTTTATGTTCTGCAATAACCATTGACGTGACAATTTTTCAGAAGACATTTGACAAGATAAGTACAGGCAGTCCCCGGGTTACAAGTGGGTTCTGTTCTTGAATCCATTTGGAAGTCAGTTTGTACGTACATGAAACACAATGCAGGACAACATAAAGTGGCTGTTCAAAAGTACAGAAAACATTCGGATGTTTAAAATTACACCCATGAGGGATCGTGTTTGCAACTCGGACATCCATAAAATCGGGGAGGCCCCATACAGTACATCCACCAATTCCCCTTTATTCACAGCACATTACTTCCTCAGACAACTCCAGTAAATTGGTTAAACATGACTTTCTTTGTACAACAGTGTTGAATCAGATCTATACATATCTCACTTACCTTGGGATGAGTTCTAATCCCATGACTGTACCTGTACCATGCGCTCATTTCCCAAGCCAATTCAACTATACCGTAACAAACACAATGTGATGAAAACAGAGAGGCTATTGAGGCAGATATCATTGCTTGAAGTTCAAATGAGAAATAAGCTGAAATGTAAGCTTGCTTGAGCCTGTAGTTGCCTGTGCTGTTTATTTCTGCTCCAGAATAAGAGCACCACAATACTCTCCATCCATAGTGGAAAAAAAATATTTATTGCGTCCCATCCAAATATTGCCAGGAACTGCCCAAAATCTGGACAGTCATTCCGGGCTGAAGCAACTGCAACAATCGGTGAACTCACTAGTACAAATATCCAATAAAAAGGTGTTCCCTAATAGCAAGCTGGGGACTTAATCAGCCTGCGACCGGGCTGTAGGTGTAAATGTAAACCATCAAGGGTAATGGTGGTTGTGCAGGTTTCAGAGTTCAGGTTGAAATGCTACATATTGAATGTCTGTTTAAATTAAGTCAAAACGCACAAAATGGTTGATCACAACATTGAGGCCATTTGGCCCCTTTAGCCTGTTCCTACCATTCAAGTAGATCCTGGCTATCTGTGTGTTAACCTTTTTCTCTCAGCTTTCAATAATAAACCTTGATATTTAACCAATTAGAAACAATTAATCTCAGTTTTAAAGACTTCAAATGATCCCAAGCATCTACAACCTTTTCGGAGATAATTTTCCAGGTTTCCACTACCCTTTGTTTGAAATAGGGTTTCTTGACATGGCCTACGAAAGGCCGATCTCTAACTTCAGATTATAACTCCACATTCTGGACTGCATAATCAAAGGAAATAGTTCAGCCTGGGTCATTAAATGGGCAGCTGGAGACCTCAGAAACCAATTCAACTAAGCAGTCTTAAAAATTTTTACCACCTTCCTCCTGATCACCTCTCCCTCCACCACTATCCCCTGGCCAGCTCACCTGTGGGTCTCAGCTTTATACTATTAGTTAGGTCTTTAGTAGGCAGGTGTCAGATCTTAAAGTCTTCTAATTGTCTATCGATCACCAGAATGACAGTATAATGAAGCCGGAGGAGTAATCAAACATTCATCTCTGCACCACCAAGGCACAGTGGCAGCAGAGTTTGTAATTGACAGCAACTCACTGAGGCCCCGAGTACAGCACATTTCAAACTCATAATTAACTACAAGGACAAGGGTAACATGCACATAGAAACACTACCAAGTGCAAATTCTTTCCAAGCCAACCTGATGTGGAAGTATATCATTCCTCATTGTGGCTGAGGCAAAAACCATGAACTCCCTCACTAAAAACATTATTGGTGTACATAGAATCAGAGGACTGAGGCAAATCAACAAGGCAACTCACCACCTGGGATAGGCAACTGCTAAATACTACATATAAATTAATGCCTTTATCTCTAATTATGGTATTCTAAACAATTCCTAGCTGACATCCTAATTTCCACCTTCCATAAACCTGAGGTCATCTGCAATTTTTGGTGCCTAAACTCCAGCTTGTACCAAGTTTCATTCACCCATTACTCCTGTGCTCAATGACATATACTAACTGCTAGTTGCATTGATTCCCCATTTTATTCTCTGTATAAATAGCACCCTAAGCTCCAGAATTCCATCCCTAAACCTCTTTTAAGAAACTTTAAAAACTACCACTTTGGTAAAACTTTGGGTCACTTGTCTCAATCTTACATTATGTGCCTCAGGGTCAAATTCTATTCGATAACACTCATTTGAAGCACCGTGAAATGTTTCACATAGTTCAAAGTGCTATATAAATACAATGCTTTGTTATGTGGATTGATTAAGAGATTTGATTAAAAGATTTATTGTGTACAGTTCAATATAATCAACAGATTTGTGAATTGTCACTATCAAAAACTCTGGGAACATGTGTAAACTGGATGAGCACAGGGAGAGCTGGCCATCAGACTGACCTTTACATGATTTGTAACTCGGAATGTGAATGCATGTTTCAACTTGTACTGATATATAAACCTGATCTGTTAGAAGGTAGAAAAAGGCACCAACATCCTGAGAAATAAGAACAAACATCCTACGCCTGCCTCTGACATAGCCACCAGCATCACATTCCAGCTCACTTTGCTAATTATTCAATATAAATAAAACATCATCTTTAGAGTGGCTTTGTGGAAAGGAGTCTCAATTAAGGAGCTGGATGCTTGCATTCCTATCTGCGCCTTCAGGTCTCCTGAGAACCCTTTTCACTGATGCAGGTTACATCTTCGCATTGCCATTTAGCTTGATTATGACTGTGAGTCAGGCCTTTTGTACTATAATTTTTCTGGTCTGTTGTGCGTCTGTCAGTACCAATACCTGGAATTAATTATGCCATTCGTACCTTTGCCAATTTAACAAAGCAGAACCCCACTCTCTCTGGGTAAAACACTTTGGTTAGTGTTGGAGGGACTGGTTCATCTTTCTCTAATTGAGTGCCACACAATAGGTGCGACCTTTTCATGAGGCATCAACTGTGAGATGGATTCTGAAGAAAGAAAAACTCAAAGCTGTACTGTCGGCCTCAATGATCTGTTAATTAAACCAGTGCTTATAATGAGAGCGGTCGACAGTAGCACAGGTTCTAGTATATCCTCTCAACTCTAACCTTTGTGCGGGTTTCCGTCCTATGTCTGGCTCAAGTTAATTGGTCCGCACTAATTTATAGACATTCCAGTCTTCTGGAATAGGTTGGCAAGGAATCATTCTGATGTATTATTAATTTTAAAATTACCACAGAATTTTGTTAGTCAAATGTATTAAAGGGATATGGGGTAAAGGCGAGTAAACAGAGTTAGTGCATATATTAGCCATGATTTAATTTAAAATCATAGAACAGGCTCAAGGTACCAAGTAGCCCCCTTCCTTTTTATTGCATCAATACGTCAAAAGGTCATATTTGATCAATAGAAAATAAAAATGCTTGACTTTTGACAAAAGGAACTCACCCAAAACAGTAACCTGCCATTTTAGAGATGCTGACTGATGTTTTGTACATTTGCTGCTAATGTTTGTTTTTAGCTGTCATCTGGTGACTAGTTATGCAAATCTTTCAAATCATTCAGATGACTGTCATTACAAATAGCAAAACAGAAAAGAATTTTATTTTTTAATGTGCAAATAGGGTTTCAGTTGTGTTAGATTTAGTATTTATTCCACTTACTAAAACTTTTTTTCACATTCAAGACAGGCTGTCCCCTAATTTCTATACAATAGCACCATCTAAAATAAGTTGAATATTCAGCACTACCATCTGAAATCAGACAGACATCAGTGTGAAATGGTTCTTAAAAAAAAAGAGGAAGGATGAAAATAGCCAGATCACAAAAGTATTTCAAAATCAAATTTAGTCAAACGGCATTCAGTTTTACACGCAATGTTTTTGCAAGTTTGAAAACTGCAGTGATAGAAGGTGACAAGAATTTCATTACTGAATAACAGATTGTGCTAATGAAGCTTGAACGTTTGCAGATCAGGAGGAAGCCATTTGGCCCATTGTGTTTGTGCTGGCTCTTTGCTGGTATAATTCAAAATTAAATCCATTGCACTGCGCACTCTTCATAGTCCTACATATTCTTAATTCAAACATTTATTCAAAAGCTTGGATTTCTACAAAGATACTGGCAGTATCACAAATTAATTTATTATCCTGTTAAACTAGTGATTTGACATAATTTATTAATGCATGCATTTAAATTGAGCTCTGATAATAATTTGACAGAAAATGAAGCAAAGCAAAATAGATCTGATCATAATTCAGAAAATACAAAACCTATTGTAATTGAAATCTCATTTAAAGTGCTGCACTAGTAGGATTGTCTGAAAGGGGTTACACCCACTCTGGGCTTCCCGTACTCCAGGCTACCATATCCAGGCATGAATTTAGCAGATATATGCCTGGGAGTTCTCGGCACAGATCCCTAAAACTGATTATGGATGATGCAATTTGGACCATTCACCTTATCCGTAGGTCAATTAATTTATTGCCTTCCAAGTATTGGTGCAAGATTCACTTGAATTATTCAATCTTACTGTAGTCCAGCTCCTCTTCAATGGTGTTTTTAAAAGAAAAAACAGCCGGTGTTACGCACTTCACCCAACTTTGTCCTTTCACAGCATATTTGATAGAACAGAATAGAATCCTTACAGTGTGGAAGCAGGCCATTCGACCCATTGAGACCACAGCGACCTTCCAAAGAGCATTCCAACCCGGACCCAACCCCCTAACCTATCCATTTATTTCCCTTGGCTAATCCACCTAACTTGTACATCTCTGGACGGGGCAGGGAGGATGTTTTGAATGCAGGGGAGATTAGGAGCATACTGAATTTCTTTCACTCTTGCTGCTACTACTGAACACTCCCCAACCAACTCTGCTCAACTGCTGAAGGTTCATTATCTCATGGCAACACAAAGTTTGAAGCATAGAAACAGGGTCATGCCAGAAAAACAAAGCACTGCATTAGACCACGTAACAATCAAAGGAAAACAGCTAAATGCAGCCCAGTAAATATGGAGAATGAATGTAAACAGATAAAAGGAGAACATAAAACTGGTCAAAAACTTAGTGGGGAAAAGAAAAAATCCGATGAAGATAACACTGTGAAGCTGGAGAAACACAGTTATCTCTGACTCCAGCATCTGCAGTTCTTACTATCTCAAAATCTGACGAATATGCTTTCAATACTAGAACATTATTGTCACCTCACATTCATCTAAATTAAACTCCATCTGCATTGGACAGCGAAGGTTACCTCAGAGTACAGGGGGTTCTTGATCAGATGGGCCAATGGAGTTTAATTTAGATAAATGTGAGGTGCTGCATTTTGGAAAGGCAAATCAGGGCAGGACTTACACACTTCACAGTAAGGTCCTAGAGAATGTTGCTGAACAAAGAGACCTTAGAGTGCACGCTCATAATTCCTTGAAAGTGGAGTTACAGGTAGATTAGGACAGTGAAAAAGGCGTTTGGTATGCTTGCCTTTATTGGTCAGTGCATTGAGTATAGGACTTGGACAGTCATGTTGCAGTTGTACAGGGCATTGGTTTGGCCACTTTTGGAACACTGTATGCAATTCTGGTCTCCCTGCTATAGGAAGGATATTGTGAAATTTGAAAAGAGTTCAAAAAAGATTTACAAGGATGCTTCCAGGGTTGGATGGTTTGAGTACAGCGAGAGGCTGAATAGACTGGGGTTATTCTCCCTGGAGCGTCACAGACTGAGGGGTGAACTTATAGAGGTTTATAAAATTATGAGGGGCATGGATACGGTAAACAGACAAGGTCTTTTCCCCGGGGTTGGGGGGAGTCCAAAACTAGAGGGCACAGGTTTAAGGTGAGAGGGGAAAGATTTAGAATGGATCTAAGGGGCAATTTTTTCATGCAGATGGTGGTGTGTGTCTGAAACGTGCTGCCAGAGGCAGTGGAGACTGGTACAATTACAACATTTAAAAGGCATTTGGATGGGTATATAAATAGGAAGGGTTTAGAGGGATATGGGCCAAATGCTGACATTTGGGACTAGATTAATTTAGGATATCTGGTCAGCATGGATGAAGTGGACCGAACAATCTGTCTCCGTGCTGAATATCTCTATGACTCTAAACTCTTTTTGCAAACATATGAATTAGCAGTGGTAGGCCACTCAGCCCATTAAGTCATCTCTACTATTTAGTAAGATCATGACTAACGTGATTCTGCCTTCAAGTCCATATTTCTGCTTACCTTGACAGTGACAGATTCTTGATTAACAAAGAAGTCAGGCTACCTCGGCCTTAAAAATACTCTATGATCCCACTTCACTGCTCTCTGGGGGAAGAGAGTTCCCAAAAAAAAAAGACACTCAAACCTCAAAAAAAAAGTTTCTTGTTTCCATCTTAAATAGAATATCCCTTAATTTTTAAACTGTGTCCCCTGATGCTCAGTTTTTACCCGTTAACAAAATCTGATATTGTCTTGTGTTATATGCAGTAGTGAAAGGAATGAATGATCGCGTTACCTGGACAGCTTGTCAAACATATTGACGAGTTTCATTGCTTCATACTCTTTCTGTTCCTCTGTCATTCCATCCATTGGATTGGGCATTGGATCTTCCACATGACCAGTGATAGGGTTAATGCTAGAAATCAAATGAGGCACACAATCATGTCTTAGCAACCTGACATTACATGCACTTGGTTCCAAATAACACAAGAGTTAATTTTCTTAAAACAGCAGCAGGTATAAACACTGCTTCCAAACCTTGTCAATATTTTCACCCACTTTGTTCTGGGTGTGCCAGCCACCATTCCTCTTTAGATTGCAAACATAAAGGGTTCAAGTACCTACATCATCTTGCCAGTTAGAGAAGATACTTACAAAGATTTGACACTTTTGTACTCTTCGGTATCAGTGTCCTCATCTTCAGAATATTGCCCATCGCCTCTCCCTCCAGCCAGAAGCCCATGGGCAGCAAGTAGCCCCGCAGCATTACCATAGCCAGTGTACTTTAACAAGCAATCAACTGGAAGAATGCAACATTCATCAGTAGGTTATACATCATCTAGGAGATGCATTTTCCAAATACTAAATGAAAGAATAGTTAGCATAAGGTATAATCGTTTAGAATGAAAAAAGGTAAATGAAATTTTGTTTTTGCACTGCCACTGTCTTTCACTGGCAAACCATATGAAAGGTAGCGTTCATACGGTTTCCATATCATTAGTAACTAAGTACTTATTTTTTCATAAAATGATACACAGAAGACCATTTTACTCAACAAGACTGTGCTGTCTCTTGAAAGAATCACCCAATTAGTCCCGCTCTACTGTTCTTTCCTCATTGCTCAGCATTTTGTTTCCCTTCAAGTATTTATCCAAAAGTTACTACTGAATCCTCTTCCACCAACCTCTCAGGAAGTTTGTCCTAGATTATTACCCAATGCATTAAATACCTCTCCTCAAAACACTTATTTTTGTTTTGCCATTTAACAACATCACTAAAAATTGTCAATTTGGTTCAGTTGGCAGCGCTTTCAACTAAACTGGAAAACTGTGATCAAGCTCCATGTTGGACTCGAGCTCTCAGTCTAGGCTGAGGGGGATCTGCAAGAGTCAGCAATGTAATCTTTCCAAAGAATCATTAAACTAAGGCTCCATTTATCATTCTCCAGTCGATGTAAAAGATTCCATGGCACAAAAAAACCGAAGCGAAGCTAAGCAGCTATGAAACACCAGCAGCTGACCATCAGAAACAAAAACAGAAATTGCTGGAAAATTCAGCAGGTCTGGCAGCATCTGTGGAGAGAGAGCAGAGTTAATGTTTCGAGTCCAGTGACCCTTCATGAGAACTCTCTCAGATCTCCACAGAGCTTCTATAAAGTGCATGTTGAGAAGCTAGGAGTTTCAGGGGTGAGGAGAAGAGCAAGTGAATGGGATTTAAATGGCTAGCTCTTTAAAAGAGCTGGCACTGGCACAATGGCTCAAGTGGTCCATCTGTGCTGTGTTATCCTATGTAATACCAAGGCACTACAGTCCTATATGCCATTGGTGGTATGGAAATATTCAAAACTGAGAGGCATCTGCACAGATTGGATAGGGAGAAACAGTTTCCATTCATAAAGGATTGAGAATAAGAGTACATGGATTTAAAGAAGTCAGTAACTGAAACAAAGGTGATATGAAGATAAAATTTTTCACAGTGAGTTGCTAGGATCTGGAATTCACTGACTGAAATTGTGGTGAAGGCAGGTTCAATTGGTTGATATCGGAAAAGGAAGAACATGCAGGGGAGTGGATAGAAGGCAGAGTGAATTTTTCATTGGAAAAGCCAGTGCAGACATGATGGGCTAAATGGTCTCTTGTACGTTAAAAAACTGTGATCCTGGGAGTGATTAGTGTGGCAAGTTTGCATCAGATGTTTTCAGTGAAAGCAACTAGCTGAAAGTACACAGAATTTCAATACATTAAGAAATAGATACTGACGAGATGTTGCTCTCCCATCAGAGTTTAACACAATTATCAACCTGTATGTTACCAATCAATATCATGTTGGTCAGAAACTAAATGTATGAGTCCCTTCCCACGATAAAAGACTGGAATAGGAGACTTGATATTCTACTGTTACTGACCACTCTCTTTGCAGAGTACAAACAGGAACTCTGCTGAAGTGTGTTTCACTCCAGTATCGATGTGCGTCATGAGGCGAACCAGCTTATTTCTAAGAGTAGTGCCAATTTCTGGACGATGCTTTACATCTTTTAAAGGAGGCAGGACCTGCCAATGTAAAAATGGCTTCAGATTAGAAAATACTGAGCTACATCAGAATACATGAATAACTTTCAACACGCATGGGCAGAATTCTCAAGGATAGTTAGGATGGGCAACAAATGCTGGCCTTGCCAGCGACAAAGACATCCTGTGAAAGTATAAACTAACTCACTAGGACATTAATTCAATGGTAACTCAATCACTCGGCAATACCAGTTTAAATGCACTTCAAACAGTTTAAATTAAATCAGATAGTGAATACAACTGAGAAATTAATTCTAAAAAAGGATCTGTATTTATACTAACAGCTCATTACATTTCAATTCCCATACATGTAGTGGAGTTCCTGCTTAGGCTTCCACAGTACTGCTTAAAAGAGCAGAAAATACAAACATTAAACTTTTCTCTGGGTTTCAATATCTTTGCATCTCTGCGTCAATATTCTCATCTGTTATTGTGTAACTGGCATTTGGAGATGCGTGACAGCTGGTATATAAAGGCTCCGTGTTCTGTGCCTAGTCTGTCTTCACTTGATTGAGTATTTTCATTGCACAGTTTGCAGATTCAGTTAAGCATTTAATAGCCAAACTATAAACTGCTTTCATTTTCATAAGGGCAATATTTCAAAACTAGAGATTTTCCACGTATGATATGCAGTTTGATTGCATTTATTGTCATATTCTTTGTGGATAAACTAGCAAAGTTGGGTTGATCCTTTTGGAGAAGGTTGAAGAGGAATTATATGGGGTGGAGTGGAGGGGGGTGAATTCAAAAGCACAGGGGTCTAGATGGAAAGAGAAAAATTCCGATTGGAAGAAAGATCAAGAACCACAGGTGACAGGCATAAGATGGTTGGCAAAAGACCTAAACAGGGAAGAACTCCTTTTAAGCAGCAAGTGGTTAGAATCTGGAATGGACTACTCATCAATGTGGTCTGGAGACAAATACAATTAGAACTTTCAAAATAGAGTTGGATGTGCTGGAGAGAGTTAATTCTTAAGGTTATGGAGAAAGGGCAAAGCAGTGAAACAGAGTTGTTCCTGCACAGCCTGACATTCTAGTAAATGTTAAATATTTGTTTTACAGACCCCAGTAATATGACTGTAAACCACCCTCTGGACACGTAAGGATAGTCCACATTGACAAACTCATCCAAATGGACAAATAAAAAAAATTAGGAAAAAAAATGCACTTTTGGGCTTTTTGATGATTTTAAAATGCATTTCCACCTCCCAGTTTTCCAATAATAAACAGAAAATTGATAAAATTAGCCAGTTGGCAACAAGATAGCTTTTGATACTTATTTCTGGCACTTTTAACCACAAAGATAAAGAATCAATTATTTTCTTTCCCTTATGAACTTTTCAAATCCTTACCCGTGAGCGGATATATTTTCTCATATCTCTGTGCATCCTGCAACATTCTGTCAGAACACTTAAAACTGGAGTCAATCCTTCCTTTAAATTGGACCCCTGTCAAATATAAAAATAATCAAATCAAAATCACAAACAAAAATTGCCAGATATGCTGCACATTTTACTCCACCTGGTGTTTATAGCAATATTCAAGAACTACTTAGATTGTTTATTTTAATATTTCACTAGATTATAAACAAACAAGCTTAAGAGAAGGAACAAAATAAAAACATCAATAATTTTAGTTTGTCAGTGTCATTACCTAAACCTTAGCAAGTGTTACCTAGATAATGTATCAGGATAATCAATAAATTATGTTCAACTTTTCATTTTAAATGCTAGAAATACTCAGTGGGTCTGGCTGCATCTACATAGAGATGGAAACAGAGTTAATGCTTCAGGTTGATGAACTCTCAAAAAACGACCAGCATAACAAATATGAGATAACAAGGTGTAGAGCTGGATGAACACAGCAGGCCAAGCAGCATCAGAGGAGCAGAAAGGCTGACGTTTCGGGCCTAGACCCTTCTTCAGCATAACAAATATCTTTTAATTTGTACTTAGCACAAGTTAGATAAAGTAAAATTTATTCTGTCCAGACATTTGTATGTTGGAAGTAATCTGCAAATAGCATGAAGGGAACAAAAAATTTGCTCCAGAATTGTGCTGTACAGGAAAAGACTGTTTTACCTGACTAAAGACTTATTTTAGTCAATAAATCCCATACCCTGCTCTCTTTCTGTAGCCCTGCATATTTTCCATTCCAAGCATTTATCCAAAATGCTCTTGAATGTTACTACTGATGCTCCCACATACTCTCAGGGAGCAGATTCTAGCTGATAACTGGGTGCATTAAAAATCTTACCTTAATCCATTTCTTTTGTAATTTAATGTCATCAGTGCTAAACTATCAATGCCACAGGGGTTGTGGGAAAAGGGAATTAACTGTTCATTAGGGACAAGGACTGGGATCACAACTATCTCCTGCCTGAAGTCTCCTTTTGGCAGGCAAACACAACACAAGTTATAGGCTCATGTACATTCTGATGGCAGGAGCCAACCTTTCCACTTTGGGTTTCTTCTGCACTGTTCACTGGTTGGGGGTTTGGAAAAGGACTATTTTGACTCAATAATTTCAGTTCTTCCTCCAAGTTGGAGCATATTTACTATCGCATCCCCAGTCTGGAAGCTCTACTTCTGTGCAGTCTGTTTTTGCAGATAATGTATGATTGAGAAGGCAAACCCATCCCTCAGTTGATTTTATATCCAGCTAGAGAAAATCAATACTAGATTATTTATTCCCTCACTATTCCCACCCTTGGAATTGCCCCGGGAAATCAGGTGTAAGAGGAGTGGAGTGAGAACTGAGATAACAAGGTGTTGAGCTGGATGAACACAGCAGGCCAAGCAGCATCAGAGGAGCAGGAAAGCTGACGTTTCGGGCCTTCTTCAGAAATGGGGGAGGGGAACGGGGTTCTGAAATAAACAGGGAGAGAGGGGGAGGCGGATAGAAGATGGATAAAGGAGAGGATAGGTGGAGAGGAGACAGACAGGTCAAAGAGGCGGGAATGGAGCCAGTAAAGGTGAGCGTAGGTGGGGAGTTAGGGAGGGGATAGGTCAGTCCAGGGAGGACGGACAGGTCAAGGGGGCAGGATGAGGCTAGTAAATAGGAGATGGGGGTGTGGCTTGAGGTGGGAGGAGGGGATAGGTGGGAGGAAAGACAGGCTAGGGAGGTGGGGACAAACTTGGCTGGTGTTGGGATGCGGTTGCACCTCCCAGTCGCGAACCATTTCAACGCCCCCTCCCACTCCTTAGATGACATGTCCATCCTGGGCCTCCTGCAGTGCCACAATGATGCCACCCGAAGGTTGCAGGAACAGCAACTCATATTTCGCTTGGGAACCCTGCAGCCCAATGGTATCAATGTGGACTTCACAAGCTTCAAAATCTCCCCACCCCCGACCGCATCCCAAAAGCAGCCCAGCTTGTCCCCACCTCCCTAACCTGTCCTTGCTCCCACCTATCCCCTCCTCCCACCTCAAGCCCCATCCCCATCTCCTACCTACTAGCCTCATCCTGCCCACTTGACCTGTCTGTCCTCCCTGGACTGACCATTGCCCTCTCTAACTCCCCACCTACACTCACCTTTATTGGCTCCACCCCCGCCTCTTTGACCTGTCTGTCTCCTCTCCACCTATCCTCTCCCTCTCTCCCTACTTATTTCAGAATCCCCTTCCCGTCCCCCATTTCTGAAGAAGGGTCTAGGCCTGAAACGTCAGCTTTCCTGCTCCTCTGATGCTGCTTGGCCTGCTGTGTTCATCCAGCTCTACACCTTGTTATCTCAGATTCTCCAGCATCTGCAGTTCCTACTATCTCTGGAGTGAGAACTGAGTGGATGGGATAGTCATCCTAGATGAAAGGAGGAGACTATTCAGTAATTTTGACTAAATGCATCGACTTAAATGTTAATTCCACTTCTCTTTCTACAGATTCTGCCCAAACTGCTGAACGTTTCCAACACTTTAGACCAACAGCTGAAACAGTTCAGTACATTGTGAAGGGCAACAAAATGGTGGGAAATTGAAGGAGGTTAATGTTGCTACAAAATTGCAGTCCCACGGAAAGGTTCACCTCAACTGTGGCGAGAAATCTGCACATCCATCTATATAGAGAAGTCTGCTCAACTGCGAGAGAACCAACACACTATAAAAGGTGCTTGGATTTTAATTAGTGGAAGCAGCTTTATTTTAAGAAAGCATATGCAACCAAAACTGCATGTTTGCAATATTATCAACATTCTACCATCTGCAGGGCAAGATTGCTAAGCAATTTGTAATACTTAAAATGAAATACTAGTCCCCATCTTTCTGGGGAAGAAATTGATCTTGGGTGCAGCATGACACAGCAAATCAACAGCAAAATTACACAGTTCTTGTTCCATTACTCTCAGAGTACATTGTGAAGTCTGAGACACACAATTCTTCCCAACTAACAATCAGCATCAATAGAAAACAAAGCAGAAGGAAGTGTAAAACATATTGCCAGTTCCTCCTTACTGTTGTGCTTCATTGCACGAGATAAATTTCATTTTCTCATGCCCAATATCAAGGGAGTTTTCACGTGAAGTGTTGTTGACAATTAAGGAATTATCAAACCAAGAAAGCGTACTTGTCATCATCACAATCTTTTGCATAAACAAATGCCCATGTCCTAGACAGAGAGATTGTTTCCACTGGCTGGGGAAAATCAAGAAAGCAGAGGTATAGCTACAGGCTGATCATCTAAGACCAAGGACAAATGTCTTTGCACAGAGGATCAGGCATCACTGTATTGAATGGTTATGCAGCTTCAAGGGATCAGATGGTTACTCCTGCTCCTGTTTCTCAAGTTGTGTCGTAACTTTTAGTGAAAACCTCCAATGCCAATTTGTTACAGCATAATTAAACTCTCCTACCGGTGATAGCACTGCATTTGCATGGAGATTGTGGTTATAATTTATCATGTTTATATGCACAGTTCTGATTATAAATGAGGATTGCAGGCATTCATAATTGAAAACCTTGGTGGGAAATTCTCACAGATGCAGAGTTTTATATTATGTGCCAGTTTTATATTTTTAAAAAAATCAAAATGACAGATAAACACAACTGGTTCATTATATCCCTACTGCCCCCAAATAACTGGTATCATTAATTGCTGTAGTCACTTTATCAAAATATAAACATGCAAACAACAAAATCACTGACCCCAGACTGATATTAAGACTTTAGTGCACAACAGGTCTTAGCTTTGGTGGAATCTCTCCCTCAGCACCAGTATAACTCTATTCTCGACATCACCTTCCCTGCACCATCATACTTGCTGTTTTAAAACGTAAAATGCCTTACTTTGTCTATTCGGTTTTCCATGAAACCCAGCAAAACCTCAACTGCATCCATCTTCTTCCCATTGTATTCGACTGTTCCACACTTGATGCTGGGGCTGAAGAGGAGATCAAGACTTGATGCTGGAATGTTGTTCAAAAGATTGACTGTGTGGCTGAGGAAGATTAAAATTTTGAGTGCCCATAAGTTTTACTTTATAATTTGAAAAAGTTCACATTTTCGGTCCTTGCACTTTTACTAGTGAGAAAATGACAAAAAACTCACCCACAATTTATATCTTTGAACGTACTTCCTATTTGCAGTGCACTAACTCCTCATGATGGAAAACCCCCTCCTTAAATTCTGATCCACAGTCGTGTCATTCTTGTACATTCACTGGATCTAAACACAAGTCTTTCTTACACCATGCAAAGAAAATATTGCTCTTGGAGAGAAGGGGAAGAGGTGTAGAATTAACAAATCTCAGCCATAACCTTGTTATTATAAAGAAAAGGGAGATAAAGTCGTCACTCAAAATCAATACAGCTCTTTGAAATGCTGATTGTTTGCAGATACAAAGCAAAGCAATCTGCTTCCTTACACCACCAGCTGGATTTTGGTTTCTCCCATCAGTGTGCAGCAAGAACTATTTACAATTGTGAGACTTGCATATATGTCATCAGTTTAGCATTTGCAACTTGCCACAGGGAAAATCCCCAAAATATTAAGGACAGCTGAAGAAAATTGATTATGGAATTTGTGTGATCAAGAGAACAAACACAAACCTACAAGCCCACATCAACATTTATTCTATTGAAGCTGTGAAAACAATATGCCAAATCCTTGTTCTGTTTTACACCTGACTTCTGTACTCTTTAAAGTTAGTATTCTATTCCCCATCAAAGTGCTGTCCATCCACATTGAACTTTGGATGGTTCACAGGTAACACTCATATTATCATCTTTTGACAGCAACACAAAGGATTATTGCAAAACTTACCCCAGGTAACATCAGAATTTACAAGTGCATTATATGGCGAAGCATCACTTAGTTTTAATCACTATAATATGCCGGGAATTACATGCTGATGAGCTACTTGGACAGAAAAGGTTACAATGCAGGCAATCTGTCGTACAATTCTCTCGAAAGACAATAAGTTCCAACACCAGGGTACAGGTGCAGATATGCAGAAATCAGGAAGGGTTACTCTGATTCCCAGCAAAAACTCAGCACTCACAAAACAGTTGTACAATGTGATCCATGTTCTTAGTAGCACTTACCCAATGCTACCCCCAGTTAACTCCTGTGGAAGGAATTTGTCTGCTCTTCTAAACATTTTATTCATTTTCTGATCTTTTAAACTAGCAGAGGTTGAGGTGCCTGATACAGAATCTGCCTCCTTGCAGTTCCTGAGTGGGCATATCACACTCTTTTCTGCTGTGACGTCCCCTTTCATGCAGTAATATGCAAAGAAGCTTCTCCAATACCTTTAAATTTAATTTTATGGATCACTGTGTTTCAGTTATTCTTTTCAGTAATAGATGCCTGACTTTCTGATCTCTGTCACTCCACTGACAGTTTTATTTACAGAAAAGGGTATGAAATTCCTCAGCTTCCACCAAGTCTGCCACCATAAACAGGTCTATACAAAGCCATTAGCATTCTTCCCCCAGGAGGCAGAAATACACATTGGTATGGAGCATATATTAGCCCTTATTACACCCTACAGAGTCCATTAATCATCCTTGGACGACACTCACCCCCTCAACTCTCAGCCCCCTCCTGACCAATACACTGAATAAGCTCTTGACACTTCCAGTCACTTCTCCTAACCCGTCCACAATGTGTGCACACTGAGACAGATCAGTCACTTCTCATAACCCAACCACAATGTGTGCACACTGACTCAGATCAGTCAGCTGGCTACATTCAACTCAGTAACACATCAGAGCTTTCATGCATTCCAAAAGAGGGAGCTTCTGACTTGCAATTCTCCTTGGCCTACTGTAGATTCAACCAAGTCAGTTACAGATTGGGAACTAGTGAAACTGTCTTGTGCGTGTTGATTTAAACGAGGACCCAATTTGTAATTTATTTTTCTTTGAGTCCCAGAAGCTGTTACAAAAGTGAGACAATCTGATGCATAGTTCTTCACAATTACATTAAAAATCTAATAACTAGTGAGCTGAGTGAGAAGAGAAACAGGAGAGGAAAACTGATTTTAAAAAAAAATTGCTTAGTTCCTCCATTCTGAAGACTGCACCCCAGCACAGTTAGAAATCATAATACAGGTCTCATACAGACAGAGTGTAACAATTCTTGATATCATCTGTTCAAAACATTCAAATTGATCTTGCAATATTACTAAAATTAAAAATCAAATTCAAATACTGAAGTTTTGGAAAGAAATTATTCAAATGCTGAGCTCCTTTAAGATATAAACAAAGAACAAAGTTAAAGGGCTAAAGTCTATCATGTAGAAAACCAGAGCAGTTGAAATGATTTATACAGTTAAAGTCCAGAAGCATTGATTAAGTTTCGCTAGTTTAGCTTTCCATCCATACTCCTAATGGGCAGACTTAACTCAGAGCTGCGTGACAACTCCCAGTTTCAGGACTGTACCAGTGAATACTGAATGAAATGAACTAGAAAGTTCAAAGGAGAAAGATTCATAGTTGTGAAAGAGAAAGCGAAAGCTTACACTGAAGTGAAATTATTCATTCAAAGCCCCTGTTCTTGCTGTACCAAATTAAGGAGGAAGATAGAAGAATTTCCCCAGATATGGGACTAATATTCAACTCTCGGACAGACATGAGCTTCCAGGGAAAGCGTGGTCAAGAATGTTGATAAATAGAAGACCAAAAGAGAAGAGGAAATCAACATACAAAAGTAAAAGTCTGGTTGATACTTGTGTCAACAATTGTACAGCTAACTTCTGAACACAAAACTTGGGTTCCATAAGAACGTGATCTCCGCTCCCACATATGATTGAGAGTTTGGATCAGAAAACCTAACAAGAAAGAACATTTGATGCCTTCAACAGTGGATGCCTTCAAAAGGACTCTAGGCATCGGACGGAAGCTTTATACCCAACACCAAGGCCATACTGGTATTCATAGCTCTGGCTAGTACTTGAATCAATAAGCTGAGCTGAATAGCAGCTGGCAGAACATTAGAAAGCTCATCAAGAATGCCCACGTGAACATTTTTGTATTTCCATATGCCAATAATTGGGTGGGTGGGAGCCGCTGACCTTTCTCCAGATTACAGTGAACTGCATCTGCATTGCAAAGAGAAGGAGAGGTAAGCAGGAACAGGCACAGGGATAAGTTTGTAGGTGGAGTTCTTGAGGCTTATGAAAAGGATAACAATAGAACCAGAGGTTTTATTGAATTCCCAAGACAGAAGGATTATAGAGAACTGAGAGGAGAGTGGGCAAGCATCCAGAAGCAAAGTGGAGCAGTGTTGAATGCGTTGTTAGTAGGTTTGCCCCTTATAGTTTGTGAACGCATATGCGATAAAGAACACAGTATTAGCGGGAGTTAAGGAGCAGCACTAGTGGATGACAGTCCAGCCAACTGGCAACATGTTCATGTAAATGTCACTTTACCTCTACTGAATAATGCCAGCACATGACCGAATTCTTTTTGCTCAGTGACGAAAGTAGGTGGCATTTTACAAGAAATAGCTTTTATGGAATCTGGACGAGTAAGGTAAATATCATACATTCTACATTTCATTCGGACCTCCAGCGACTTTGAGGCTGATACCAAGGGGAGCTGTATTTTGACACGCAAAGATGAAGTCTGAACTGTACCGGATGCTTATAGCATATTACAATGTGAACAGACTGATCAGATATTAAAACATATTTTTCTACCGCTTTGGATGGGCCAATCCTCAATTTATTGCCCTCACCTTTTAGATGTCAATTTTAAAAAGAAGTCCACAGATGTCTTCTGTTTTGGGGAAAATGGCAGGCAATAGGGTTTCTCATTCAGCATTCTCAGTGTATGCTAGAATGCCAAGAGTGCTTGTAAAATGAGCAGTTTCAATTATCATATTAGACATGGCAGAGATATTATTTACTGCCCATCCCTAGGGGTGACGGGCTGCCTTCCACTGCTCCTTTTTCACTGATGGAGCCTCATGAGCTGCTGAGTAAAACACAAGGCAGAATCAGTAAGGGTGATGGGCTCCTCAAATTAGAAAGGCATAAGTGAAACAATTAATTTCTACAAGAACCGTTATTTATTTTCCTGATCTACAAGTCACCTAGTTTACAGAGTTTGCCTTGATGGAATTTTACTTCACAATCGCTGGTCCATTCTCCAAATCACTGCATTGTCAAATATGCTACACAAGGTGTGCTTATTTAATTGTAAGCTTTTTTACTTTTATAACGAGCATTCTAGACCATAAACCACGGCTATTCAGTTTCAAGCAAATGAATGCCTGTGCCATTTTTTTACAGCAATATGCATGCCATATTTTTGTAAATTAAAAAATGACTTTGCAACATTTCAGGTGTCCTGCCAAAAACTCCAAATCACTGCAATGCAATGAATTTTTGCCTTGCATACTTCCATTACATACTTGAATGAAGTGCCTCCCCTACTCTGTCTTGCTCTTCCCTTTTCCGGTCATGCCCCAGCATACGAGAAACAAGTTCACATCTATGCACCACAGCAGCGATCCTATGGCCACCGTGTTTTGGCCATAGGATTGCTGCTGTGGTGCATAGATGTGAACTTGTAAACCCTGCACAGTCCACAGTGGCATCAAGACAGTGGTTCTTTAGTGTTGAAGAATCTTGTGACTATCTTGATTTTGTTAGCAAGACAGGAATTAGGAAATTATAGCCTTCTGCATGTAGATTTTAAAACCTTCAATGAATAGACAGCTTTCTTTGCATCTCTCAACAAACACAAGTCACTGAACACTTTAACTGATAATCACTCAAAGATGCTGCAAGACGGTCAGAAAAACCCAACTGGTTGACAAATACCAATGTGCCTCAGCAAAGAGTACCTTGAGGAGGAGACTGTGCACACAACATGGTTAGCCCTTTTAAAGAGTTCTAAAGCAGTTGTCGCAGAAAGTAGACAGTAAATGAGGCACTGCTAATTTCATCCACAAACTGAAACAAGTTTAAAAGAAATCTTATTACATACAGCATAGAACAGTACAGCACAGGAACGGGACCTTCAGCCCATGTTGTTGTGCCGAACATGACGCCAAATTAAACTAATTCTTCTGCTTGCCCTTGGTCCATATCCCTCCATTCCTTGCATATTCATCTGCTTATCTAAAAGTACCTTAAACACCCCTATTGCATCTGCCTCCACCACTACAATCGGCAGTGTGTTCCAGATTCCTACCCCTCTCTGTGTAAAGAACTTGCACCTCACATCTCCTTTGAACTTTCCTCCCTCACCTCAAATGGATATTTCCTAGTATTAGACATTTCAACTCTGGTAAAAAGATTTGACCATCAACCCCGTCTATGCATCTCGTAATTTTACAGACTTCTTTCAAGTCTCCTCTCAGCCTCTGCCACTTCAGAGAAAACAACCCAAGTTTTACTAGCGTCTCGTTATAGCTCATACCCTCTCATCCATGCAACATCCTGGTAAACCTCTTCTGCACCCTCTCCAAATCCTCCGCATCCTTCCTGTAATGTAGTGACCATAATTGAATGCAATACTCTTAAGCGTGGCCTAACCAAAGACTTAGAAAGCTGCAGTACGACAACCTGACTCTTGTACTCAATTCTCCAACCAATAAAGGCAAGCATGCCACATGCCTTCTTTACTACCCTATCTACTTGTGTGGCCACTGTCAGGGAGCTATGGACTTGAACCCCAAGATCCCTCTCTACATCAACACTGTTCAGGGTCCTGCCATCAACTGTATACTTTTCCTTAACATTCGATCTTCCAAAGCACAGCACCTCATCCTAATGCTGATTAAACTCCATCTGTCATTTTTCCACTCATATCTGTAACTGATTTATATCCCGCTGTATCCTTTGACACCTTCTACACAATCCACAACTCCACCAATCTTTGTGTCATCTACAAACTTACTAACCCACCCGTCTAAATTTTCATTCAAGTTATTTATATATATCACAAACAGCAAAGGTCCCAGTACAGATCCCTGCAGAACAACGCTAGTCATGGACCTCCAGTCTGAAAAAACATCCTTCCCCTACTACCCTCTGTATTCAAAAGGCAAGCCAATTCTGAATCAGAGTGGCCAAGTCACCATGGATCCCATGCATTTTAAGCTTCTGGATGAGTCTACCATGGTGGACCTTGTTGAATGCCTTACTAAAATCCACGTAGGCAACATCTACTGCTCAACTCTCATCGATCACCCTCATCACCTCCTTGAAAAATTCAAACAGTTACTAAGACATAACCGGCCTCACACAAAGCCATGCTGACTGTCCTTAATTAGGCCATGCTTTTCCAGATGCGCGTAAATCCTATCCCTAAGAATTTACTCCAATAGTTTCCCAACCACTGACGTGAGACTCGCTGGTTTATAATTTCCTGGATTATCCCCATTTCCATTCTTGAACAGAGGAACAAAATTAGCTACTCACCAGACCTCTGGGATCTCTCCAGTGGCTAGCAAGGATACAAAGATCTTACTCAGGGCCCACATTCACCTCACAAAATCTCGGGCAAAATAAATTATTTTATGATTCTCTCTAAATGCTGACAGTTGTGGTCACTGTAGACGCAACAAATTGTAAGCTATTCTGCTGACATTTTAGGGTGACTGACACTCAGACAAAAACCTGTTTCCTTCTTGCTTTCACTCATGCTCATAGTTGGTGATGAGGTTGTGAGGGGAAAGAGAGGCTGTTGTTATAAACAATGCACTTACCTGTGAAATTCTTCAGTTTTGTCTTCAGACTGAGTCTTCAGCAACAAACAGTGACAGAGAATAGCAGCAAGGTGCCTGTTCTGATGGGCGCGATCCTGCCCAAAAGAAATTAGTGGTACTGAAATAAAGTTTTCACCAGATAATAAAATTCTGGCACACGGCAAAGCATTTCTTGTTCTATAGCCAGTGCAAGTCACAAAGGAGACTACAACAGAATTTTAAGCTCAAATTTTACTTTCAACCTTACTCAAATTTTTCACTCCCAAACCTGTACATAATTGCTATCTTTCTCTTTTAATTGTCCATTCTTAGGATGTGTGTATCATTGGTGCAGGGAGCATTTATTGCCCATCCCTAGTTGTCATAGTCACGCCAGTTTGTTACAGCTAGTGGCTTGTTAGATCATTTCAGAAGAGTTAGGACTCATGGTATCAGTGTGGAATTACAGTCACACACCAGGCAAACATGATCAGCCAGCTCCTTGTATAGTAAAGTAGAAAGACTAGGGTTGGAATGTCCTCCTTCGCTGTATCATTGATTCAGGACCTAATGGAATTAATTGTTTGTGCTAGAAAACAGTTTTAAGTCACACTGAATTTTTATAGGTTTTGAAGGTTACTTTTTCTGTAACTGTGATTGTAAATTTGTTCAACAGTATAGGAACGCAAATAAAGAGAAGTGGTGAAGCAGTTTTAAATCAAAATATTCCCCTTCTGACACAAAACTAAGTGAGAAAGTAAGTTTTAAGGAAGATAGAGTCTGCAAAGAGATATAAATGGGTTAAGTGAGTGAGAGAGAATGGAATCCGACAGAAGGGAGCACCACATTGGTAAGTGTGAGATTATTCATTTTGGCAAAAACAGAAAAACAGACTATTTAAGTATTGAAGAACTACCAAATGTCGGCTTTCAGAGAAATTTACGTCCCCCTACACAAAGGGCATATAAAGTTAGCATGCACGTGCAACAAGAAACAGCAAAATGGTAGGTTTTGGAGTGAGGAGGATGGAGAACAAAAGTAAGGAAGTCTTACTCCAGCTGTGCAAGGATTTGATATATTTTGTACAGCTCCGGTTCTTACAAGTATAAGATATACTTAACTAAGAAAGGTTCACTAAACTAATTCCTGGGATGAGAGGGTGAGTAGAATGTGCCTATATTGGGTTTAGGAGAATGAGAGATGATCTTATTTAAAGATGGCATGATAGGGTAGACACTGAGAGGTGGTTTCCCTGCCTGGTGAGTTTGAAACCAGGGAGCACAGTCACAGGATGAAGAGTTAGCAATTTAGTAATGAGAGGAAGAATTTCTTCATTTAAATGTCTAGAATTCTCTACCTCCGAGAACTCTGGATGCCCAGTCATTGAGTAGGATCAGTAGGTTTTTGGACTCCAAGGAAATTAGGGATATGGGGTTTATGTTGAGGTTTTAATAAATGGTGGAGCAGGGAGGAGGAGCCTGTACCTACCCTATTCCTTACACATATGTTCTTTATAGATGAGTAAACATAAATGTTATCATAAAACAGCTTAAGAATTTTAGAAAAACATTATCTTTGGTCTGTTAGCCCCGTGCTCTCAGCCATCCCAGTTAGTCTACTCGGATCAGGTGTCAAATACACTAATCTGTCTGTCTAGTGCTGCAACAGAATTGAGGTGACATGGCAAAATGCTGAAACAGCTCGAAATATTCTGAAAGTATTTCTGAGTCGAAAGAATGGATTTGCATGTTTATGGTACTTTGTCACAATTGTGCTTTATATCCAGTTATTTCCGAGATGTCACTATTTTTGAGGAAAACCTGACTGCCCCATGAACAATGAAGTGATTGACAGCGTTGATGAAGGAGAGGGGATTGGTTAGCCGAACAGCTGATTTGCAATGCAGAGTGATGCCAGTAGTGTGGATTCAATACTTGCAGATCCCACCTCTCATCTGAGGTGTGGTGAGGTTAAACCACCACTAATCTCTCTCTCTCTCTCTCTCTGTCATGTGAGAGCAGCCAACATCAAGGAGATAAAAGCAAGACATTGGACAAACTCATTGGGCTAATTGGATTGCGCTTATTGACTTATGCAACCACTTCAAAAAAGTGAGAGAAGCCTCGGTTTAAGGGTGCACCTTCAAAATAGCAATACTGCCTTCTCCATGGCAGCACCTTCACCAATCATGAAACTTGACAACCAATCAGCACCCTACTCTCCTGCAGTTTAGATTATTGTGATTGCTTGAAATTTGGCATTCTTGTGTTTGATAGACCACATTCCCTTATATCATTAACATTGTGCCTGTATATTTAAAGATAGGTCGATGAGCGAAAGCTTTTAACTATGCAGCTATTAATCATTCTTCTGACCTACAGAGTTGATGCAATATTACATTACAATGCATTATACCCCCTCACCTCCAACATTGGGACTACTACTACTACTACTGAAAACAAGAAATGCTGGAGATCACAGCGGGTCAGGCAGCATCCATGGAGAGAGAGCAAGCTAACGTTTTGACTCTAGATGACGTTTTATCGGAGCTGACATGAAGTGTGGAGGGGGCAGCATTTATGCTATTGTTAGTGGGGGGTGTTGGAGTGTAGAGTGCTGGGGGAGAAAAGATGTTGGTAGTTCAGATTAACTGATCGGAACATGTGAATGGTAGAGCCAGACTTGAAAGAACATACATGTTCCATTGGGGAGAGAAGACATGGTAACAGAGAATGTAACAAGTAAAGCTTAAACGAAAGGCAAGAAGTGGGAGTGGTTCACAATTTGAAAGTCTAAACCATCAACATCCCTTCTCCCACAGCACTCTACATTCCAACCCCTCTACCCCAACTATAGCACAAGCGTTGCCCCCTCCACACTTCATTGTCAGCTCTGATGAAGTGTTATGTAGAGTTGAAACGTTAGGTTCCACCGATCCATGGATGTTGTCTGATCCGTTGTGATCTCTAGCAATTGTTTTCAGCACAGATTCCAGCATCGAGTAATTTGCTTCTACAGTGGGACTACTATTGTTTTTTTGTAGCTCAATTCAGCAAAATATATCATGTGGCAACACAATATCATCTCTCAAACATCTGCCCAAAAAGTTATGAAGCATGAGATGAACATGGGAAACTTACTTCATCAATTTGCTGCTGGTTGCAGTCATAAGTGACATTAAAGAGAGCTTTCAGCACCTCCATGGATATATCCGCCTGCTCATTAGACAAGGGAGGTCCCCTGCAGTCTGTGGCCACCACATATTTATCTGACCACTTGACATCCAGTGTGCTCTCTAGGATATCAGTAAGCAACAGTAGCCCTTGTTCTTCTTTTAGTTGAGCCCTGGCATCCATTCGCAATGCTGACAACAGGAAAAGAAGGCGCAAGTCAAAGAACTTAATTTCATGAGGCAGATTTTTGTCTCTGTGTGTCTTTAAGCGCTCACAGGCTCCACTGACAAGCTTGAAGTCCACACTAAGTTGCTGTGCCTTCTCACTATTGAATACAATATTGCACAGGCATTTTAAAGCCTCAATTATAACATTAAAGTTGGGTATCTCTTGTTTCGAGCTTTGTGCATACTCCAATCCAGCCAACCTCATTAGGGCCAGCATTGCTGGTCTGGTTGTCAAAGGGGCCAAAACTTTCTTGTCCCTGGAGAGAATGCGGATTGTTTCTAAACAGGTGGCTTGGCAAGATGGTCCCAGGTCCTTCTGCAGTGCTTTCAATATTTCATCACACATTTTCTGTCAACATAAAACAACAGACAGTTAGAAATCATCTGCAACGGTGAAACATGGCATTTCAGAACTACTAACTGAAAAGACCACAACAGTATTGATCAATGAAACAGTTAGGGAAATAATTGACATTTTTATAAGGTATTATAAAGTAAGCTGTGTACAGGCATTTGTTCGGCTGAATGGTTCGATTTTTCACTGTAAATACTTCATTAAAGCATTATGAAGTTAGTTAACTTCTGGTATCAATTTTAAATCATTTGTTTGCATTATAACTTATGATTTACATCTAATTTTCTAAACTTATGACTTCTATTCTAAAAATATGCATTTTTTTGTAAATAGTTCATTTAATACCACTCTAAGCTCATTGACACTGCTACCTTGATTATAGTTCCAGCTTCCTCTAACAACTCCATCCCATTTTCCAGCTCCTCTGTTGACAATGTCACTTTCCACACCAGTGCTTCAGAAATGTCTTCCTTATTCCTCAACGGAGGACTCCTCTCCAACCCCATCAAGGTTGTCAGGTGCCTTCAGCTCTGTCTGTTTTACTGAAAATTTTAAGTAATGAAAATCTATGCTTCCTTTCCAGGAATCGACATGGTTTTCTCTCATTTTGAATAAAATGGACAGAGTTATTGCTGAATCCAGTCTGTTTTTCTCTCCTCAGATGCTGTCAGACCTGCTGAGTTTCTCCAACAGGTTCAGCTTTTGTTGTTTTAGACTTCCAGCATCCACAATCCTTTTTATTATTTTTGTTTTGTTTATTTATAAAAAAACCTATACATTACCAGATATTGCTTAGTCACCACTATTTCTCATTGTTTTCATACAAATACTAATATTGCCCATTTAACTACAAATAAACTTGCATGCCGAAATCCTAGCTTTAGAACTTTTAAATGATATAGGGAAGAGGATGGAGGAATTTGGAATGACCATATAGGTGTTATGGTTCATGGTTCATGACTTGGATTTGAATTCCCATTGTTATCTATGTTGCTAATCTTTGAAAGCAGCAGCCAAACCAAATGTCCAAGATTGCACAGGGAATCAGAAATGGTATGGTCACTGATCACCTTCTCATTTGACTTATAAAGCAGCTCAAACTACGCCAAAATAACAGGGTGCCTAGAGGTCACCGTAAATCTAGAGCAGAGACAAAGGATTCTTCCCTGCCAGCCAGCTCAGGGGCCCCAAGGAGATCCACTACACTGTTAGCTTGTCTTTTCGCTGCAGCATAACTTTGCCTAGCTAAACATCCTCTAAGCCACTGGTGTGCAACAAGGAAACAAAAGAAAGTACAAAGAGTTGAAATAAGATAAAAGGGACTTTAGAATCACATTGAATGAAGTTTGCATTTTTACAAGCCTTGCATGTTCACAGCCACTGGCAGACATTTTTTTTTCTAAATCTATAAATAACACAAATGGCTAAAAGTATCTAGTCAAGTCTCCTAGCAACAAGTTTGGGGGCTTTTCTGCTGCCTACACTTCTCTTACTAACCCACAGCAGTCAGAACCACCTGGAGTGTTTGAGCTCAGCCAGATTAACCCTCATTGTCAGTGTTTCATTGAGAAGATAGGGCTCTTAATATAGAAAATATAGATATTTACACACACATATACACTCAGCCATTCCAAGTACCATATATACATAATACTACTCAAAGTATGCATTTTAATCTGGTGCCAGGAGTAGAAAACACTTGTATGTAAGTTGTATCCTTTTAATTTCCTTTATAATTCAGCAGTGAATTTCTTTTGCCTAATGTCCTTCAAACCTTGAGATATTTAAGCAACATCTTTCCCTCCCAACTTCAGTTGTTTTTGCAAAAGTGAAAGACAGAAAATACAAATACCAAAAGAGAGAAGATCCAAAAATCAGTACCAGGCACTTGGTTCAAAAGAAGGAGAAAAGATATTGACACCTAAATATCATTGTGCTTACTGAACAGAAAAGCCAGAAAGACCAGAAGAAAACTTTTGTTTCCAGGTGGTTACATGGTAAAAACAGGAGAGGAATGAAATCTTGGCTTAACTTTCATGAAAGGGCCCTAGAAAACATCCAACTCTACAGAACGTCACAGCATCTAACAGTTTAAGGTGATACCAGGGATTTATACCCAGAATCCTTTCCATCTGTCTGGGTGAAGACTTTTCTGATCAGATCAGATTTTTTTTTTTTCTGTCCCTGCCATCATAGTTAAGCCTGAAGTGCGCATGACAGAAACGGGCCATTCAGTTCAACCAGTTAGTACAAGTGTGTATACTCCACTCAAGCCTCCTCTCATTGTTCCACACTTGAATCTATCGTCATAAATTCATATTCCGTTCTCCTTCAAACGCATGACTAAATTCTTCTTAAACGTATTGACATTATTCACTTTAATCACTCGCCAAGGCAGAGAGTTCCACATGCTCACTGCTCTGAATAAAGACGTTTCTTTCAAATTTTTAGTGACTTATTCTTCATCATGTCCTCCATTTATGTGCTTCCCCACAACAGGAAACATTCTTTCTGTACCCATTCCATCAAAATCTTACCATTTTAAACACTTCTATCATGTCTTCACATCTGCCTTCTTCTTCTAAGAGTAGGCACTTAACGTGTTAATCCTTTCCTGATATATGCCCACTTATTTCTGGTACGATTCTGGCTCTGTCCAAAAGTCTCCATATCCTTTGTTTAATATGACAACGAGAATTCTACAAAGTAGCCTAAATGTGGTCTAGTGAAGATTCAATACAGGTTCAGTATAATTGAAATTATACTTTTCAATTCTATTGCTATAGTAGTTAAAGTCGAATGGGTTTTGGCTGCCTTTTTTTTCTGGCCTTGCTAATGTTATCCCTCACAGGAATAGCATGCTAGAAACAAAGTTCCACTATTTCTAGAGTTATCACAAAAGTTAAAGGCTTTTATGGTAGGTTGGCTCGCCGAGCTGGTTCGTTGTTCCACAGACGTTTCATTACCCTGCTGGGTAACATCATCAGTGCAGTCTCCGATGAAGTGCTGTTGTGTTTTCCCATCTGTTATTTAAACTCTGGTGTCTGTTGAGCTGGATTACCTCACTTCCGGTTTTCCTTCGCAACGGAGTATATATGGGGTCTAGCTCTATTCTTTAAACCACAACATCCATAACTCGAACTACAAATCTACTCTAAATCCTTAGTTCAAGATTTTTAAAAAGTGCACGGATTTCCCTAATTCTTCTGACTTCTTTACCCAGGTCAACAGAAAGCACAAACCAGGTTTCTATACTTAACAAGAATTATTATTTGTAAGAAATAACTAGACTCTTGCCACAGGTAAACAATTATGAATTATACAAAACTGTACTAGTTAAAGCTCTGACCTCTTATAACACACACACACACACAAAAATGCTGCTTTGTGATCTTACTTCTCCGGATACTTTTACTTATTTGCACAAGGCACAGGGTGACAGGTTCACATTTATAAAGGTCTTTGATTTATCAATTAAAAGTCACAGTTTACATCACTGGAAACAGGAAATAAACTGGTTATCTTCAAACTTGAGATTTTTTTGTTTTTAAAATGACAGAGCAAAAACAGCTTCTTCTCCTCCAGAGGTATGATTGTTTCTGCCAAAACATTCACACCCAAAGCTGTTAAGCTACCTTGGATGCTAACACACAGTTGTTAGTAGGTAGAAGGCTGATAACTGGTGAGTAGTCCACAGACCAATCAGCTTTTTGTTGCCATCCACAGTTCCATTCGCACACAACCCTTGACTCCAGCAAGTCTGCAAATTAGGCTTCCACTAGTGCTTGAACAAGTGGCTGTATAAATAGTACTTACAATAAGTATGAGGTTACTTGCTTTAAAAAGGTGCAGCAATCTTTCAATAATCCTTGGCATTTAAAACAGTACTTTTCCCATTTTGGTCCATAAAAAAAATACAGAAAATTAAAAAGATACAGTCTTTACATGAACCTGTGGTGCAACTTCTTGCAATTGATGTAGTTGTACTTGAAGACCCCCTACATCATTTACTTCACCTACACTTGCAACTTCTGGATTAATAAGCAACTTCCGAATTAATAAGCAACTTCCCTATTCTTCCTATCAAAAAGTCCAACTTCACATTTATCTACGTTGAACTTAATTTGTCAATGATGTGCCTTTCTGCATTCTTATTATCTCCTTCTGCAATATGTCACAACTTTCCTCAATATTAACTGATTTAGAAATTGTGTTTGTGATTCCAAAGTCCAAATCATTAACGTAAAATTGCAAACAGCAGTGATCCCAGCACTGATCCTTGTGAAATGCCACTTCAGATCTTCTACTATTCTGAATGGAAGTCGGCTTTATTCTCATTCAATACTTGCAGTTCCAAAGCAATCCAGCAATCCAGCAATCCATTCTAAAACTGGTCCCCTTATTCCACGTTCTCTGACCTTATTAGTTAGTCCATAAAGAAGCATCTATCAAAATCCAGTTAAAATATATCCAGTGAATTACCACTATCTATTCTCACTGTTGCCTCCTCAAATTTTAGTAAAGTTTTCAAGTAAAACCTCTCTCTTCAAATCGATGCTGACTATTCATTATTATAGTTCTTATTTCCAGATGTTCTTCTATTCTCTTCTTTAATTGGAAATCCATTGTTTTAATATCATTAATGTTAAGATGAGTTGTCGATAAATCCCTGGATATGTTTTTCCATTTCTTAAATATAAGGATTATATTAGCTGTTAAACAGTTCCCTGGCACAACATATTTATCTACCAACAGATTTAATTGTAATGTTTCTGCTACCTCTTCCCTAGATTTTTTTTAAAACTGTGGATGCAACGCAATCAGACTAGCAGTTTCATCCTCACAGTCTGTTCAGTTTATTCAATTAATCCTTTTTTAGTCAGAAAAACTTTAAATGCACCTATCGCATTGCTTATCTCAGCATTCAACATCACGAGGACCTGCTCCATCTTTCTGGTTAATGCTGAAGTTAAAAGATTATTGTAATATTTCTAGCACCTATCATTATATATGGCATTGTATGTGGATGAATGTAAAATATTCGATGGCACTATTGGAAACCAGGCTATTCTCTGGCGTTTGATCAATATTCTTCCTTCAAGCCATAATCAAACTAAAAAAAAAAATCAGATTAACCTAGTCAGTTATTCATTTTTTTTTAAAAGGTACAAGAACTCATTCATTGGCTACTGAGTGTTTTAGGACCTTACAAAGATGCGAATACAAATTTTTCCATTCTAGTTTCATTGATGCTGTAAACTACAAATTGAGTAGCTTTAGAGTGCTTTTCAGTACATTAAAAGCAATTTGCAAATATCTTTATTGTTAAAATACAGCTGTTTAAAAATAACTTATGAAGCTCTGAAAAAAAAAGGACAGTCCTGCCTCATTTCAACCTGTAGGGGCCACCCTAAGGCTTGAGCGAAGGCCAAATTTGCAGTACTTTGTAAGATGGCTTAATGCTACATTGCTTTTAGGCTCCTGCAGCACTGATCTCAAGCAATCGGTTCCAAACAAAATGCAAGGGCTGCTTAGTCTGCTAAGGTAGGTCAGGGATTCTTTCAAATTCCAGCAGTTTTATCTTCACTTTGAAGGCATGCTTCAGAACTCAGCAGCACCAGCACTGGGCAACACAAAACAATTTCAATTTTCAGTTAAAATTATCCAAAATTTAAACAAATTATATAAACATTTAATGGCCAAAGACATTCACATTTTAAATATTTCCAAATCCTCAGATTATACTTCATACTGGTGTTTGAGAATGCCAGGACAGCACAGCTCAGTAGTGTAATTACAGTTAAGTACCTTTGCTTTTATCAATAAAATACCGTATTGTCATTTTCCTACCTTTCTCTCTTCTTCCTCACTTTGATCAAATGTGAAAGTTCGACTGTTCTGTAAAATAAGAACACAAAAAAGGATTGCAGTATACAGCATATAGAAATATAAATTACTATACAATGCTTCATAATCCAAATGGACAGTTCTTAAAGAAAAAACAAATCTCAGTTTCTTAATGTTTCTCTAGTTAAATTGCTCTCCGATTCTGTTAAAATCGGGTACTCCTTCACTTCCCTGCAAGCTTTCATCTTTCTTGGTATATAACCTTAAATTAAGATTAAGCCCATGCCTTATGAATCATTGAGAAGACCGGAGTATAGAAAGTCCTCCAGTTATTTCCCAAGCAGCACCATCTGAAGAAAACAGCAAAATACGTATGACAAAAAGCACTGTTTTTTTGTACAATTACCTGTAGAATCTTGGAAGTGAGCAGACAGATTGATGCATGAAGGTTATTAATTTACAAAATGCAGGATAAATCCAAGCCAGTCAATTGCCAACCCATCAGCCTGCTCTCAATCATCAAAAAGTGAGCAAGATGTTGTCAACAGTATTACCAAGTGGCATAAAGCAATAACCTGCTCACTGATGCTCAGCTCCTGATCTCGCTAATGTCTTGGTTGAAAGAGATGAACCTAAGACATCTTAGACCAATCACAGAAGAAAATAGTTGTGACAGTGGAGATCAATTATCTGTCTCAGACTTTGACTGCAGGAGTTCCTCAGGGTAGATATTTTCAAATCAACCTGTGCAGAGATGTTTTTGCACACTTCTGGAGTAGGTGAGACTTGAACTCAGGTCTTCTGGCTCCGAGGTAGAGACACAACCACAGCACTACAAGAGTTGAATTCCTCAGGATAGTGTCCTAGACCAAAGACTCACTCACTTAATGACTACTTCGAGCCTGTCCACCATCTCTATAAGGCACAAATCAGCAATGTGATGGAATACTGTTGGATGAGTGAAATTCCAAACTGCTGAAAAACCCTCAATATTATCTAGGACAAATCATAATGCTTAACTAGCACCCCTTCCAATAATAATTTCTGCCACCACCAAGTGGCAGCAGTGTGAACCATCTACAGGTAGTTCTGCTATAATGCAATTTCGTTAACACAAATTAGCTATAACGCGATTAATGAATAGTGCATAAAAACAAAGTTGCTGGAAAAGCTCAGCAGGTCTGGCAGCATCTGTGAAGGAAAAAAAAACTGAGTTAACATTTCGGCTCTGATGAGCCTTCCTTTTTCCTTCACAGATGCTGCCAGACCTGCTGAGCTTTTTCCAGCAACTTTGTTTTTGTTCCTGATTTACAGCATCTGCAATTCTTTCAGTTTTTTATGATGAATAGTGGACTCTGTTTGGATAATGCGAACTTTCTGCTGTATAGATATGGCTATTTCCCTATAACGCAATTTTCTATGGCAATTTTCTATAGCACAAGGTCACGTAAGAACGCAAATAATATGTTATAGGAGAACTATCTGTATAAGAAGCATTGCAGCAAACCACCAAGACTCCTTCAACATCTATCATCCAGAAGGACAAGAACAAAACACATGTGGGAACAGTATCATCTGCAAGTTTGCCAGAATGATAGCTGGACAATGTTATGTGAAAAGATTACACAAATTAGGCCTAATTTCTCTAGAATCTCAAAGGACAAGGGGTGATCTGACTGAAGTATTCAAGATATTAACAGGAAAAGGTAGGATAGATAAACTATTGCCACTGGTTGGGGAATCTAGACCTAGGGGTCATAGTCTGAGAATGCAGGCCAGACCATTCAGGAGAGATGTTAGACCTTTCAATACACAAAGAATGGTAGCAGTTTGGAATTCTTTTCCCCAAATGACAGTGGATGCAGGATGAGTTGTTAATTTTAAATAAGATAAATTGTTGTTTTTCAAACATATTTAGGGGTATGGGCCAAAGGCAGGTATATGGGAGTTAGGCCATAGATCAGCCGTGATTTCATTGAATGGCAGAGGCGGCTCAAGGAGCCGAATGACCTACTCCTGGTCCTACGTTCCTAAGTTCCTCTCCGTCCTGATGTGGAATTACATTGTTGCCCCTTGAGTCACTGGATCAAAATTTTGGAACTCCTTCTCTAACAGCACTATGGGTCTACTTACACCACATGCACTGTAGTGGTTCAAGAAGGCAGCTCACCAACATCTTTTCAAGGGCAATTAGGGATGGGCAATAAATGCTGACACCCACATCCCATGAAAGGCAATAAAAATATTCTACTGGAGATATTCCATTGGGGAAATAATAAGGGGAAACCAGGAAATGGCAGAAGAGTTAAATAAATACTTTGCATCAGTCTTCACAATAGATGACACTGACAGCACTCCAAAAATACTAAATAATCAAGGGGCAAAAAGGCAAGGAAGTAAATTTAAAAATTACCATTAGAGGAAAAAAAAAACAGCTAGGGAAACTAATGGGGCTAAAGGCCGATATGTCCCCTGGACCTGATAGGATGCATTTTAGGATTTTGAAGGAAGTTTCTACACAGATATTGGGCAGTAATCTTTCAAAAGTCATTACATTCTGGAAAAGTACCAGAGGACTGGGAAACTACCAATGTAACACCTTTATTCAAGAGGGGAGGAGACAAAAAAAAACAGATAACTATAGGTCAGTTAGCTTAGCATTGGTCATTGTGAAGATGTTATGAGTTTATTATAAAGGAGCAATAGCAATTTAGAAATACATAATATAATCAAAAACAGTCAGCATAGCTTCATGAAAGGAGAATGCATGCCTGGCAAATTTATTAGAATTCTTTGGGGAAGCTACAACAGGATAAATAAAGGGTGACCAGTAGGAGTAATTTACATGGATTTCTAAAAAGGTGTTTGATAAGGTACCACACATACTTAATGAAGATGCCCATGGTGTTAAGGATAGTATATTTGCATGGATAGAGGATTGGATGACTAATGGAAGACGGAATTAGGATAAAAGGTGGGGAGGGGGGCATTCTCAGGATGGCAACATGTAGCTAGTGGAGTGCCACAGGGATCAGTGCTGGTGCCATAATTATTTAATAGAGCTGGATGAGGGAAGTGAATGTACTATTACAGATGACACAAAAATTGGTAGGAAGACAAGTGGTGAGAATGACACAATCTACAGAGAGATACAGACAGGATAAGTGAGTGGGCAAAATTTGACAGATGGAATGGGGTGAGGGGGGCTGCGATTTGGAGGTCCTTGCATGGCAGTTTTTTCATTTAGGCACAAGTGCAGCAGATAATATGAGAGGTATGTGGAATGTTGCTTTGAATTTAAAAGGAAATGGTGAGAAAATAGGGTGCTTTTGCTAAAACTATATAAATCACTGGTTATACCTTACCCACAATAAAGAAAATAAGAAGAGGCAGTATCCTAGTGATATTATTGCTAGGCTGTTAATCCTTAGACCCAGGTAATGTTCTGGGCACCCAGATTCAAATCTCACCATGACAGATGGTGGAATTTGAATTCAATAAAAATATGGGATTAAGAGTCTAAATGATGACCATGAAACTGTTGCCAATTGCCAGGAAAAACTAATGGTTCACTAACATCCTTTCGGGAACCAAATCTGTTAGCCTTACCCAGTCTGGCCTACATGTGACTCCAGATCCACAGCAATGTAGTTGACTCTCAACACTCCTGTGGGCAATTAGGATGGAGAATAAATACTGGCCTGGCCAGGGATGTCCACATCCCATGAATGAATAATAAAAAGAAAAATATTCTGAAGTGTTGTTCCCTTACCTAACGAAAGAGAGACTGGCAGTAGAATCATAGAATCCCTACAGTGTGAAAGCAGGCCATTTGGCCCATTGAATTCACACCAACCCTCTGAAGAGCATCCCACCTACCTCTGTAATTCTGCATTTCCCATTGCTAATCCATCTAGCCTACACATCCCTGGACACTACGTGCAATTTAGCATGGCCAAACTACCTAACTTGCACATCTTTGGACTGTGGGAGGAAAACAAAGCACCCAGAGGAAACCCATGCAGACATGGGGACAGCCAAATGACTTACTTCTGCACCTTATGGTCTTATAATCACCATCTTCTAAAATCCAATTCACCCTCACCATCTCAGTGCATCAAACTCAAATCCTTACCATTCTTTACAAAGCTCTTTCAAACTTCATCCCACCATATCACCGACACATCCTTCACTCTATGTAACACACTGAACTTCCATCCATGCTCATCCACTTAACCACAGGACCTCGCCTATGTTATACATCCACCTCTACATCTCCTTCCCCCATGGGTGGCAAAGTATTCAGCTAATGTGGCTACTCACTCAAACTCACCATCTCCTTACCCATCTCCTATTTTTTAAAACCAGCACTACAATCAGTCCATTCTCACTTCAATGAGGTACCTTTCAATGATTTACATCATTAAAAGCTGTTCTACAAATTCATTTTTTTTTAAAATTGATAGTTTATAGAACAACTTTAAAGAGTTGATAAGAAGTTATTACAATTATCTATTTCTCGTGTACACATGCTACGGATATGTTTTTGCTATCCCTCCCCTTACATTGCTTTCGCATGTTTGATGCGTACACACCAGCAAAAATTCTCCATTTTGGAAGTGCTAATCTTTTCAAACAAATTCAAATTGTGCACAAATTCACAAACACCGGATTTTACTGGAATGGATATGTCACAGAATGTCAAATTAATCAGACTTGTTAAGGCATTCTCCAGCTAAAACAAGGCCCATCAAATTGTTGGAAGCATGAGCTGAAGGCAATGGGGCATCAGGGACCTGTGAACCAGCAGGGACCAGCATTATATCTGTTTAAACAATGAGATTTAAAGACTTCACAGAGAAATAATGGAGAGGGAATTAAAATGAATTTGAGACTCAGACAGAAAAAGAAATAAAGATTGAAAAAAAATGAAGAACTTAAAGAGATTAAAATGAAACATGATAAGTAAAATTTTAATGTGATGTACTACCTGATGGAATGAAGTATCACAATTTTAAGTATTTATTTTAGGTGAGAGAAATAACGTGGCCGTAATTAAAAATTATGACGTTGAAAAGGGTATTGACACTATTACAGATATTTCTGTCATAACGCATGTTTCATTAACACGAATTGGCTGTAACACGACGGATGAATAGTGGATGCTGTTTGGATAACACGAACTTTCTACTGTACCGTATAGTGATTCCCCTATAATGCGATTTTCTATAGCGCGAGGCCACACAAGTATGCAAATGTTGTCCCCTTGTTCAAGACGGGGAGTAGAGACAACCCTGGTAATTATAGACCAGTGAGCCTTCAGTTGTGGGTAAAGTGTTGAAAAGGATTATAAGAGATAGGATTTATAAAGGTCTAGAAAGGAATAATTTGATTAGGGATAGTCAACACAGTTTTGTGAAGGGTAGGTCATGCCTCACAAACCATATTGGAGTTCTTTGAGAAGGTGGATGAGGGTAAAGCGGTTGATGTGGTGTATATGGATTTCAGTAAAGCGTCTGATAAGGTTCCCCATGGTAGGCTATTGCAGAAAATACGGAGGCATGGGATTGAGGATGATTTAGCGGTTTGGATCAGAAATTGGCTAGCTGTAAGAAGACAGAGGGTGGTGGTTGATGGGAAATGTTCATCCTAGAGTTCAGTTCTGTTTTGGGGCCACTGCTGTTTGTCATTGTTATAAATGACCTGGATGAGGGCATAGAAGGATGGGTTAGTAAATTTGCGGATGACACCAAAGTCGGTGGAGTTGTGGCTGTGCGGAAGGATGTTGCAGGTTACAGAGGGACATAGATAAGCTGCAGAGCTGGGCTGAGAGGTGGCAAATGGAGTTTAATGCGGAAAAGTGTGAGGTGATTCACTTTGGAAGGAGTAACAGGAATACAGAGTACTGGGCTAATGGTAAGATTCTTGGTAGTGTGGATGAGCAGAGAGACCTCGGTGTCCATGTGAATAGATTCCTGAAAGTTGCCACCCAGGTTGATAGGGTTGTTAAGAAGGCGTACGGTGTGTTAGGTTTTATTGGTAGAGGGATTGAGTTTCGGAGCCATGAGGTCATGTTGCACTTGTACAAAACTCTGGTGCAGCCGCACTTGGAGTATTGCGTACAGTTCTGGTCACCGCATTATAGGAAGGATGTGGAAGCATTGGAAAGGGTGCAGAGGAGATTTACCAGGATGTTGCCTGGTATGGAGGGAAGGTCTTATGAGGAAAGGCTGAGGGACTTGAGGCTGTTTTCGATAGAGAGAAGAAGGTTAAGAGGTGACTTGATAGAGACATACAAGATGATCAGAGGATTAGATAGGGTGGACAGTGGGAGCTTTTTTCCTCGGATGGTGATGGCTAGCACGAGGGGACATAGCTTTAAATTGAGGGGTGATAGATATAGGACAGATGTCAGAGGTAGGTTCTTTGCTCGGAGAGTAGTAAGGGCGTGGAATGCCCTGCCTGCAAAAGTAGTAGACTCGCCAACTTTAAGGGCATTTAAATGGTCATTGGATAAACATATGGATGATAATGGAATAGTTTAGGTTAGATGGGCTTCAGATTGGTTTCACAGGTCAGCGCAACATCGAGGGCCGAAGGGCCTATACTGCGCTGTAATGTTCTATGTTCTATCGCATTATAGGTGAAATACCTGTATTTACTAAATGTAACGTTCACTTCCCAGTTTATTGAGCAATTAATGTGCAAATATAGTAAACTCATGAAAATCTCAGTGAGATTAAAGCCAGGAAGGCATTTGTGCTGATTTGCAATTCATCAGGTATATCACCCTTGTCCCAAGTTAACAATCATGTTGCACATTAACAATAAGGACAGGTATTGGTAACGCATTATTCGCAGCAAATTCTGGACAATAAAGTTATACTGCTGTGATATGCAGGAGATTGTTTACTTTGCTCGATGATGCTAACTGTCACATGGTATACAACTGGGAATCTACTAGCCCTTAAAATAATGATATTCACTTGTGGTTTGGGTTTATCCAAAACAGCCCCTCTGGGCTGTATGTAGTACTTCGGCATTGAAAATTTCTACAATTCATCAGAATTTAGAAGAATGAAGGGTGATCTTATTGAAACATATCAGATCCTGAGAGAGCCTGATGAGACAGATGCAGAGAGGACATTTCTTCTTGTGAGGGTATGTAAAGTATGTGAGGCAAGGAGTCTCAGGGATGGGGTGATGAGACAAATTCTTGATCTGTAGGAGATTCGAGGTTTGCCGGGAAACACACGAAAGTGAACATGAAGAATGTCAGAACAGGCATGATCCTATTGAATGACAGAGCAGGGTAGAGGCCAAAAGGCCCACTCCTGTTCCCGTTTCTTATAGTTGTGCTTGTAGGACGGGGCGGGGGGGATCATGGGGGGTAGGGGTGGAGGATTCATCTTCTTCAGGACTGGGTCGGGAGGGCTAATGTTCCTAAAGATTGGAGTTGGTGTGCCTGAGGATGGTGGGGGAGGGTGGGAGAAGGGATGTTCCCAGGTAGGAGAGAGACACTCCTAGGGGTGAGAACAGATGTTGTTCGCGAGGGTAGGGGAGATGTTCCCGGGTTGAAATCGGTGGGGGTGGGGGGGAGGAGTGTGGGTTTTCCCAGAATGGGGTGGTGGGATTAGGTTAATGTTCCTGGGAGAGGGGGCAGAAATATGATTTTGGGGGAGGGGAGATATGGATGTGCCCGAATTAAATGAGGGGGGGAAAGTCCCGGGTATTGTCATCGCCTCAATCATTGCCGCCAGCCCGGTGTCACTCACCTGCCGGTTATATCCCTGCAGTACCCACTCTACCTCCTCCTTGTTGCCGCTCTCCAGCGCTGCCAGAGCCGCTGCGGAAGCGGGATCCATCGTTGACGCCGGAATGGAGCCTGGGCCTGGATAAGTGTCTAATCACCGAGCCCCAAGAGATAAGGAGCTCCGCCCAAACTGACCCTTCACCCCGGCAACCGACACTCCCCCGCACACCCGTCACCCCGGCAACCGACCCCCACCCGTACCCGTCATCCCGGCAACCGGCCCGCCCCCACCCCCACCCCCCGCACCCGTCACCCCGGCAACCGACCCGCACCCATGACCCCGGCAAGCGCCCCCCGCACCCGTCACCCCGGCAACCAGATTGGTGGGGTATAGAGAAGGAGAGTGTGGGAAAGGGCGAGTGAAATGATGGTTGGGTGGGGAGCGTAATGGGGTTTGGATCGGGGGTGTGCTGGAGTTTGGGTGGGGATTGGGTATGTGCTGGTGTTTGGGTGGGGATTGGATCGGGGTGGGGGT